ATTATGGTATTCTATTCTTAAAAATTTTCTGATTATATATTTTATTTATCATAATAAATAAAGTCATCTGTTAGGAATTGTTAAAATAATTTTCAACTCAAAAAGAAACTACGCAGGCATAATTCTTAAATAAGCAGCTAATATTGATTGCCAACATTATACAACCTGTGTTGGATTAAGTACACCATCAATTATATTCTTTAAAAGATAAACATTTGACATCTAGTGGAGATAATTGGAAGCAGTAAAATGTATAATTACTGTTTCAATAATTTAAAAATAAATATAATATGACTAAGAAACGATTGAAATGTGGAGCATCATCTCAACTCATAAAATTTTCAAGTACTGTAGTCTATATGTTCAAACGTAAAAAATTATATTAAGTAATTAGACTTTTACGATCGCATATATATATACATAACTTGTATGCATGCATGACTCTTTCCTTTATAATATATAATTTTTTATCACCAAAAGTATAAATTACAATACAATAATATTTTGCATCAGCCAAGAATTTTGTTGTAGCAGTGCCTGACCAATCAGACATAACTACTGAAATCATTACGTAAGCTAATCCTGACAAGAAAGACTTTTCATTACAAAAATAATATGAAGTTTATCTCTCATGATTGCGTATAGAATTTTCAAGAGGAATTCATAATAAAATATTTTCCGACTACATATTAAATTCATCCAACTTTTTCAAGTTAAATATAACATATTATTTTTCATTTTTTTAATATTAAAATTGAACAATTTACCTAACAAGTTGTTTCAATTCAAATTCTCAGAACAAGTCAATCGCGCCATCTAGTACAGATTGTTATCATATTCTGGTAAAAGAGAAAGGTTTCGTAATCAGGTAGATAACACGTGATACAAAACAGTTAAACAACGAGATAGCGGATAGTTTTTATCTTTCAACTTTGCTAGGTGATCAGCAGGATGAAGAATATTTAACAATTAATGTTTGTTCAAATTAATTTCAATCGAGAAGATCTTTATTATAATGTCTATTGTGTTCAGTGGCACCCGGAGTCGCTCTGGAGGAATAATAAGCGCTATAGCTAAGCAAGTAAAGTTAGTTAACCTAAAACCTCTCACAAAAATCACTGTCCGCTTCGATCCGTTTCACGACAAAGTCATCGAAACGAGAAATTTCCTTTACTATTTATCAGCACCAAGAATAGCAGAGACTAATATTACTTGTCAATTAAAAACAGAAATTGTCTGCGATCGTGCTGAACCGTTAATTACCTGTGATTTTCATGAAAGTGATGAAAAATTGATTTTGAAATCGGAAAATTTGAATGCTCTCGAGTTGTTAAAGATTTTCAACAAGCACGTAAGTTCTCGAATCAAGCCTGAAGTAGAACAGCCGGCAATAGTCAAAAAGAAGAAGAAGAAGTCGTCAAAGAGACGTCGAATATAAACTAACAAACGTGTTATTGATATTGTTTACTTTATCGTTTGAATAGTTGACTTTACACACTTTATATCAAAATGTCACGATATAATAGTCCAGAAAAAGGTTATAGTATGAAATTGATTGATACACTTTATAGTCAAATACCAGCATTCACTGATATATTCGATGAAGAAACTTGGTACATGTTTGTCACCTGCTTCGTTATCACTACATTTGTAGTGGTATTTATACTATCTAGGTTTATAACAATACGACCAGTAGAATAGAATCGTCATTGGTAAGCCTCTAAATAACATGAACTATTCATCCTTGAAAAGATTATATATCATTGATTTTTTGTAATACAGGTCTATTAGTATAGGTCAATTGCTTTTGGACATTGCTAAGCAGTACTAAATGAAAAGTAAGCAGCAACTACTTATATCAATTGCAAAGATATACAAACTTTAGTTTTGTTATTAATGTTTTCTGTAAATGATTCAATATAACATTTGGAATCCTTTTCAATAAATAAATATAAAGAAAAAATACTAAATGTACTAAGTTTGATACAATTATGAAAATATTGAAATCATGTACGTACATAGAAATCTCAGTGAAAAAATAAAAATTGTCTGAACAGAAATATTTCATACTATAATAAATAATTCACTTTTTAAAATGTATAGGTTTTAAGTAAAAACCAAATAATATGTAATAATAATTAATAATAGGCAAATTTGAACAAACAATACTTGCAAAGTATTATGTGAAATTATCATAAGTGAACATGAATACAATTGAAAAAATACAGAATATTCAGCATATGGATTACTTTATTTCAAATAAAAGTTCTATTGTTAATAAAAAAAAATATTCAATTGAGAAAAGTTTCTTTTGTGGCATACTAAGTAACATGTACTTATAACAGAAAAAGAGATATTTTGTATGCACAATGCACTAAACATTCTACTAATTAATTACAGTGCCATTTTTATGAGAACGATTGAGATATACATGATATTGTTGAAGTCGAGATCTAGATTATGAATCTTGAAAATAAATTGTCATTTGATCTACATTGATAGAATGCATAATATTACTAAATTTTTTAATTCCTTTCCTTCAGATAACACTTAATCTTTACCTTAGCAATTAATCAGATCAATAATATTGTTCCAATAATGAAGACAAATTTAAATAGTATCTAAAAATAATTATATTAATATTTCAATGTTCATGATATTATGGTATATCCATTTTTTGATTCAATAGTAACTTTACACTCTATGTTTTGATTTGAATTATTCATTATATTGCTACATAATATTGTACTAAAATTTTTAATATCGAGATTCTTTTGAAATATTTCAAAAATCCCACTTCCAGTACTAAACAAAATTAATTTATCATAATCATATGTATTAAGAACTCGTACAAAGTTACAGATTATTCAATTGTTACATATTATTATAAATCATTTTCATCCTTATCACACTAAAACATGAGTGTATAAATGAGTGTAATTATTAATTTAAGAAATAAAGCCAAAGCAACAAAATCACTAACCACTTTTATTTCATATTCCCAGAACACCATATCGGCATTTAATGTTTTAAATCTAAAAAATCATCCGAGTTACAATAAATTCTTTAGAAAAAAATATAAGTCAATAAGTTATTTATAAAATAAGTGAACAGTGGACGAATGATTTTAAGAAAATTAATCAGTTTAAAGCTCGACAACACAGCAGACTTGCAATCATTAATCTTTCGCTCAGACTTTTTTCATTTTTCCATCGTTACCGTTTCAATTTTCTGCTTTCCACGGCAAACAGCAGTTTTCAAGACTACGAATCGTAGCTAAACTGTTTCCAATAGAGCGATCAAGCCATCAACTCAGTAATAACACGGCTCCGCAGCAGATCGCTGCTGCCGTCCAACTTGGTCGCTCTCTCGATCTCGCAAAAAAGAACCAAAAAGCATCGGACTCGCAGCGACTGCTGCTGAGGCAAGGTGCACTGATTCCGTGAATCCCGGCAGGTGTTCCAAGCGCGCGCGCGCGCGCAAGCCACCTGCAATCACGACGACCACCATCTGTCCCGTGGGCCAATTAGGCCACGCCGAAACACGTGCCGAGTTGCGAGGATGCACACGCCGTCGATTTTTTTACTTATTACGTCCTTTGTTTTCTTCTTGTTTCGCTTTTGGCTTTCGAGAGAATTGGCGAGTATTTTTTTTTTTGCAACAGTTGGCCGGCACGAGCCACGCTGAGCTTCATTTATTTTTACTTTCGTATAATGATGCTGGAGAATTGTAGTTCTTGTACTTTGTTGCAGGAAGAAATTTGTGGCTTTCTTGTGGTCGGACATTTTTTGCTATGACCGACTTTTGAAGTACTGATTACTTGTAATTATTATAATCAACATCGAAGTAATACGAATACAAGATTCGTAATTTCAAATAGTATTTTGTTTCTTGTTCAGAGCTCAAAGTTAATAATTCAATTTAGTAGTTGGCTAAATGATTTATAGATTCGAAATGGGGGTCGTGAAACGATCTCCCCAGCTGAAAAACTAAATAAATTATATTATATGTCGAGAGACCAATGACATCTCAAATATTGATAGATTCAATAATTACTTTTAGATCTTTGGCAAATATCGTGATAGCGAATCACTTTTATCTTTTACTTGTTCAAGTAACGAATATTACAAATTCATATAAAACTAATAACACATATCCCCTAGTATATAACAAATTAAAAACCACCTGTTATATTTTCAATTAAATAATCCAATCATTACTATTATTGGGTACTATTTTTGTATAAATTTGTAAATGAAAAGTTCATAACTTGAAAATAAAAATAAACAGAATCCCAAGTATTCGACTATCCCGTTTCATTTAGAAAATCGTTTATAAACTAAGCGATATGAAGCTTGAATAACATCACCAAATGAAAACTGCCATGGAATACTTTTAATAATAAAAATTCATCCAAGAGTTGAACCATTTAAAAGTTACTCAAAACAAAAATATCCATTTGAGTATAGTATACGTACATACATAGTCGTAGTAGTTTAATATAGTTTGAAAGCATTTTACAAAAGCATTATATTAGATACTTCATTGAAAAACTTTTTCAATAATTTATATTTTATTAACAATATTTAATTACAGATTTCATTTGAAGAGATATTATCTATTCTTTCGGCCACTCATTTTACGAGCTATTTTCATTGTATATTGATTACGTCTTTTGATCAATTTGATGAATCATTGATCATTTTGATCAATGGAAAATAGCTTGCAACTGAAAAAATCAAGTATTAAGCTGAATACCTGCGACTTACTACATTGTATTTTATGAGTTTATCTAGTTTATAAAAAAAATTTTTAAAGTTACTGGCAAATCATTGTTCCAAAGATAATACCTTATATTTAAAAACGTTAAGTTATATAACAAATGAAATTCATAGAATGTCTAGAAAACATTTAAAAAATAAATAAAATTTGTTCATCTACTGAATGTTTACTGAATTATGCAAGCTTTTCATTAACAGATTACATACACGCAGAAACAGAATCGAAACAAAATAAATTAGTCTGTTAAAAATTTGAAAGAAAACGAATAGTTCTTAAAATATTTTTCCAACGACTTTCCTAATAATAAATTCATACATAGGTATATCCGTGCAAACCACTAATTTATTTTTTTGAATCTCATTTAATTAGTCGTTTAGTCGAACGTTAGGATCGTGAGATAACATCAATCACGAAATATGCTCGAGGATGATTATAAAAATTAAAATAACATGCATCGTCAAAATCAAATTACATCATTCCACTTAAAAAGATGATATTTATTATCTATCAAAATGTATTTAAAATGTTAACTTACAATGATTTTTATAATAATACAATTGATACTGACTTCAACTGATCATACTAAATCAAAATTGACTTTTGATTTAAAAGTAACGGGCTACCATTATTTGCAACAGATTGATTTCACTGTGACTTTCATACTGATCAAAGAAAGTTCAATGTTCGTTCAAATGAATAAAATATTGATCAAATCACAATGATTTAGTATCTTCCAGAACGATTATCACGTCCCTTACGACGTTCTTTGGACCTGGATCGACGATCACGTGAACGCGATCTGCGTTTACGATCTCGTTTTGGAGATCTTGAGCGGGATCTCGATCTTCTACCACCACCTTTTTTCCGACTGTATAAGTATCTACGAAGGTCACGAGAAATAGGCTTCAGGTGCATAAAATTACAAAACCCCGAACGTGTGCATTCCCTAAAAACATAACATTAACATTGTCATTAATAATAAATATTTTATAGAATATTCATAATATTTTTCCATGTAAGATGGAAAAATAAATGACAGACTATCTACGATACAATGAGAAGTACATTTATCTAATAACAAGTTCCAAGATAGTTTATTTTAAGTAGAAATTTAGCTTAACAGTGAAAAAAATTATTCAATCTATTAGTTAAAACTATGATAAAAATTTGTAAGAAAATAATTTATTTTGAATTATAATCATTATTATTTATTTTTTAAACAAAACTAAATTAAATTTTAACGTTTTAAGTCAGAACATTCTCTTCCGAATTCTTCAAATAAAATAGTGACTATGCTTACACAAAAGAAAATTTGTCACAAACATAAATAGATTTTCTTAAATATTTGCTACTTTGTTAGTTTTTTGGAAAATAAAAACACTCTGTCTATGTTTGTACAATGTAAAATTTACTTTATTATTAGGTAATTACCTAGCATTTTGGGCTTGTCCCGTCATTAGTCTAAAATAAATAAAATAAAATCATAGAAGAGCTAGTTTAGATTGCTATTTCTATATTACAGCAATTTTAAATTTGAACAAATGCAGAAAAAATCTTACCCCATTTCATATTGGCGGCAACAGGCTTCTCTGAAATCTGTTACAGGTGATAACTCAGCATATACAGGCCTACCTCCGAACCATCTATTGTTCAAATCGTTCACTGCTTTTTCAGCGTCCTCTTCTCGTCTGAATTTGATATACACATTTCCAACAAGATGGTCCCCTAAGTTATCGCATACATTCATTTCTTCTATTTCACCATATTTATCTTCACATTCAACAAACACATCTTCAAAAAAATTATCATAATGCTCTTGCATTTCTTCATCTGACACATTGGCGACCACTAAAATTATTGAGAAAGTTTCAATTTTAATCCACAGTATATTATTTCAAAATTAATTCAGTCACTACTAAACATTCTACTCACGGTGAGATCCATCCGCACTTTTTGCTGAATTCTGTGGGTTTACATAAAGATTTTGCAGTAAACAAGTCTAAAATAGAAAAATTATTAATAGACAATTGTTCAATGTAAATTTCGCAAACAATACATTAAGATATTGCGCTCCTCTTCACCTGACTAAAAGTTGGCTTATTGTGAATTCTAGAACAACGGTCTCCATGCCGACAAGCTCCAATTTTGAAATAAAAGGAACAATTGACCCTAAAAAATCAAAATTCTACTCAAAAAGCGTAATACATTTGACTAACAAATATTCATATTTAACTTTTGAATTTAGAAGAAATAAAAAAAGCCCTGTTCAGAGGCCTAATAACCTAAAATTTGACTACATGTGAATTTGGTTAAACTACACTTACTTGTCTTTTTCCGTTCCGAAAATTGAAGCCAAGTATTCAGCCATGATGAATCACGTTGTTTTAATATAAATTCATATATTCTAAATAAATTAAACTATCTGTTCAGGAAAAATTTTCATCAAAACTCGCGGCCAAGCTTGACTAAGCTTAAAGGACGCAAAACGAAACGCATACGAGAGTGGCGCGATTGCCGATCGACCGCTTGCGTTTTCTTAATGGCCGCTCGTGTTGATAGGGTGGCCGGTGGAGGAACTATAAGTACGCTTTGTAAACAACAGATGTCATATCATATTTTCTTTAACGTACTGAGATATTCACTGTTTTTCCAAATAACTTTAGACCTACTGCAAATGTATTTTATGTGATCTCGCCATGTCAACAATATAGTGAAAGTTATAAATTAAAAAAATTTGAAAATTTTCATTTCACTCTCACCAGTGAAATTTTCGGAAAGGGAATGATGTCATTATATAACATGAAATTAAGCGCGTAAACATTAACGCATTATTTACAATCTCTCGAATGATCAACTATTATTATTAATATAATAATAATAGTTAGAATAGGTAATAGAAATTAACAGTAGGTAGATCCCAAAAGAGCAATATATATATATATATATATATATATATATATATATATATATATATATATATATATATATATAATAAGTATCTTATTATTATAAATAATTGGAAAAAAGAAAAACAGTTAAATGTATTTACAATTTTTAGTTGATCTTTAATAATATCTAATAATATAACATCGTTTTAATAATATTTTTAAAGTCGTCGACGGTGAGAAAATCGGTATACCAACAGGATTCTTGATTATAGTTACGTGTGGCAATTGCAAAAGACTATTACGAGCCTCTCAAGGCAGCATTGAGTACCGGTGCACATCATACGCCAATGCGATAATTTTTGTCGAGCATGCTGCAAAAATAGGAAAATCTTATCAACGCGATCTTGTACCCGGGATAATTGGTATGATCTGCAAATATTCTACAATCCACGTCGTTAGCTACGAAATTGATCATCCAGCATCGATTGCCACGAAGAAAGAGGTAAAACGTTGTCTCGCGCGTTATTCAACTTCGCTTCAGTTTCAGTCTCATCACTTCATCGTGGCTTTGTTCTCGCAAACTCGTCATCCGCCACGATAATTTTGGAGAACTTCCGCTCGACGTGCATATCTGTGTGCGAGTTTGCGCGTGAGATGCTTGGTAAAACTGTGCAGCATCGCTTAATTGATCCAATGTAAACTGGCATTGTTAATATTTGTACCTAAAATTAGTATAGCTGTTCCAGGCAATCGATGTAGTCTCCCCTCCACCGCGAATCGCAGCAACGTCCTTCGCTCGCCTCTTCAGCTCTCGCATCAAGCAAGTGGTTGGCGAAGGTGGAGCAGCCCTTTTTCGTATGTGCAGCACAGTCTCGCTGTTAGTGAATTTATCCGAGGGCCGCTCTCTAGCAGCTGAGCGAAAAAGATGGACCGGTGTCGCGGTAACATACGAAACTGAAGTGTTCGGTGTTCACGGCCACGTAAAGCGGATGCTAACCGTTGGGGTCGAGGGCTTCAGTGTCGACGATATATGCTAATATCTGCTGAACATGAATTAAATTCGAATGAAAATATTAAACTAAAATTTAATGACACCTCTAGCTAGGCAGACAAATTAACTACGAGTGCTCAAGTCTACAAGACGGCCTGAACGATGTTCATCTGCAGTCGATGTACGGCCACGTTTAAATTTATTTACTTAATTGTAAATAGTTGCAAACACAGGGGAAAATACACCATAAACTATATCTAACTCAGCTTTGATTTCTTTCGGTGTTTTTCTACGGTTTTATTGACCCACCCCCGTAGCTGTTTTAGAAATTGGAGCTAACTTATTAGAATGAAAATAGAAATAAAAGTGCGAAGGAGTCCCCTAAAAAATTACAAAATACGAAATTAAATTATCTTAAACGAAAGCCGAAATATAAATGTAGGGAAGTTCCCATCGAAAATATGAAAACAAAATGGATAAGTGACATTGCAATGGCGCTCCTAAGCGTACGCAGGTGTTTTATGAATTTATGATCGAATTCGTTCTACGAGGTTCTTCGCAGTCCAGAATCACAACTACTTATCTTGCCATAATTTACCTAATAATCTTAACAGATTTCGGAATGACTCAAAGAGCAGACACGAGATAACTAGTATGTAATAGGATATGCGGATCCTGAACCACTTATCTCTTCCTGCCAACAATCGGCAATAGCGATTCTAGTGTGCCGACATACCCTGGCCCACGGTCTATGTCTTCAATCTGCGCCCGATGAAATAGTGTTGTAACAAGAATACGTTGCGATATATCGAGCAGCGAATGATTCTAATTGGATAGAACGTTTGAATTCAGAAAAAGTCAACGACAACAATTTGAAATGTAGGCACTATATTGGATGTATCAGATTTGAAAATAAAAAAAGAGATTTCCTTGTTACGAATATAAAAACATAAACTGATATGTACTTTATAAAGACTTTTTATGTATAAATCGATAAATACATTTGAATGACTTAAATGAATTCTAAGACTACAGTCTTACATTACTTTTGTTTATCTCATCTATCAATTTGTAACAAGATGTTGAATTTTTAAGAGGAAAAAATAAAACTAAAATATCATTGAACGTGATTACATTAAGAAGCTGATAGTTTCAAAATATTCTTTGTCTTAATTTCTATATATCAGACACATAATCAGTCATGATTTCCAAGCTCAAGCAAATGTAATTATGGTAGTCTCAGAATTAATTATATAAATAATATCCTCCTCAACTCACTATACACTTCCTACACTACTTATCCTATCCTATATCCCTTTAAAGAGTAATATTAAAGTCTGCCTAGATATTATTCAACGTGTAAGACCCAATCTGTCTTTACATACAAAAGTCAAAATTCTGTTTCTCAGCGTTTAAGGCTAATTCAACGCGTGCGCGACTATGTCCCTTTACGAGTCAAAAGCACCAATTAGCTTGCGTGCGCGCATACGTCGTAGTTCGTTTATTTTCGTCAGCGACTAAGATCCTCTAGTCATTGAATACGCGACTAAGCCCCTTATTTACACACACGCGAGTCTATCGCATGCTATGATGACTAAGTACCGTTTTATTTCCACTTGTAAGTCAAATAAGCGTACGACTACTGCAGCGTCAACCAGCTTTCCTGAGACTAACATGTACAGATCAACTTTTTTTTTACCTCAGCGTGTAAGACAAATTTAACGCGCGCGCGGCTGTCACTTTTCAACTTGGCGTGCGGAAAATACGACATGGCCGCATGGTCGGCGAAAAACGTACGATTGAATTGGCGTTCTCCACACGTTGTTTTGAAAAATATCATATCTGACGTGAACGGGAATAGTACATTACAAAGTTCGCTTCACTCGGGCGAAAACGCCACACGAGACAAGAATCTACTTTCCCGCACTCGTATCGTAATGTACTATTCCGCGCTAATTTAGTAATATACCATAACGTACCAAAAGTCCCTGTTATTCGGAACTTATGTTTTTTCTTCCTCTGAGCAGCTAAGACTTTATCATGCTCAACAAGTACGCGGCTAAGTCCCTTTACACACATGAGAGTCTATCACACTCTGTGATGACTAAGTCCGTATGGGTTTCACATCTAAGTCCAGTAAGTGAACGACTGCTCTGCGTCAACTAGCTTGCGCGAGACTAACATGTGTACAGGTCAACGTTCATTATTTTACATCAACGACTAAGATCCATTCAACGAGTCCCCCACTACGTAACCTACGATCCATGTGACTTCCTACGGTTAGGAAAGAAAATCTCTCGCGAGTGTACCCCACTACTTTCCCTACTCCCCACCATTCACAATGTAGTTATGTATTAAGTAACCGTGTTTCGTAACGCACGCTTCAATTGAATGTTAATCAGCGACCATGCTGCATACGATTATGTGTATCAATGCTCACGCGTATCTTAAAATTTTAAGAACTTGTGGCTACTGACACTTATAAAATTGAGCATATGTGTGGCGTATATTTTTTTTACTTGCATGATTACAAATGTCTATGTTCACTATTTCTTAAAATTTAAGACATGTAAAGAGAGACATACATGCATATAGAGCCTTTAATAGTATCCCTATTTTAAAAGTCCGAACGGATTCTGCTCTGATTTTGCTCGAATTTAGAGCTGCAATTTGGGACAAAATCAGAACAAAATCCGCGCGGATTCATAACGTAATCAGAGTTGATTTCTGAGCAGCATCAAAGTTGAATCAGTTCGAACTTTTTGGATAAAGTGCCCATTATGGCATGTATTTGTTTCCTGTCCTGATGTAATTTACTAATTTTCATTAGAGATACGGAATAGAAATTACCTTTGGCATACAGGTCCAATTTTTAAAGAACTTTAAGCATGTCATTCTCAACGATGATTGCGTAGAACCATCTCAGTTTCTTTGTTACCACATGGTTCTTATAGAAAGATCTTCCCGCAGTCATGTGAAAAAAATTTCTGGCTCATAGCAAACTTTCATGAAATGGATTGAACACAGGAAATATTTTATTGCAGTCATGATCTATGTGAAAGGTCGTCACAAAGTGAAATGGCTAAGTAGATACTCGTAGATCACATCTTCGACTTAGAATATGTGTTCTGTTACTGTTGCACGAGTCAAGTTTCCGGAGATCGGTAGTTTGTGAGTATCAATTGACCAAGGTACACAGGGAATTGTTCATGTATAATACTAAAATCTATTACACATCATAACGTACTTCGGTGACTTTAGCATCTAACAGCAATAATGAGATGTATGTAGATGTGATGAATAGAATGCATTTAGAGGAGGAAGAGTAGGGGCATGATATCGTAAAATAGAGAAGGGGTAAAACCTATATATATGCAGCATCAACGAGGTTAGCATTCATTCGCTTTTCTTCATTCATTGTAGATATTGCATTGAATAACTTCGATCAACAGTAAAAATACTGTATGTAAACATTTTGATTCATCAATAAACACATTATTTCAAAGCTACTCTATTTTTCGGTTATAGTTCTCATCGCTATGAATGCTATAAATATTGTAAATAAAACTCCAAACTACCTTCCAATCAAAAGAGTGAGGAACTTGGATCTTCAACATTTGTACAATTCTACTGAAATTAAACAAGTCAAGATGAAGTATGTCACCAAAGTCGTCGTCGAGGTCAATGCTGCATTTGGCATCTTTATTTTTCGATACTCAATTTCCGTCTTCTTAAAAATCAAACTTTTTATCACAAATCGGTAAATGAGATAAGCACGAGTAATATGAAATTGAAATATTTTAGTGCCTCTTAGAATTTGTTTAAGTCATTCAATGTATTTATCAATTTATAAATAAAACCTCTTTATAAATTATAAATCAATTTATGTTTTTATATCCGTAAAAAATAAATCTCTCTATTTCATTTCAAAATCTCGTACAGCATCTATCACTTGCTGTTCCCATAGTTGTTATTAACTTTTTTCATGAATCAAAATGAAAAACATAGTATCGTTCTATTATAGAAATTATGATAAACAAGAATACATATAATACATTTCTGTTTAACTCTATTATAACATTGTTAAGTTGAAAAGACGGGAACTGCCCTCATATTAATTTTTTCCATTCAATTAGAATCATTCACTGCCCAATATATCGCAACATATTATATTTGTGCGACATACTGTTTACGTTACACGTATATTATGCAGGCAGTAGAGTACGCGCGAATATTTAAAATCATTTTATTTAAGCCTCGTAGTTTTTCTTTCTTTGAAGCACGTTCTTACGATGTAGCGTAAACAAGATGTTCACGTGAATCAAATTTACAAATTTTATCTTTCTATTTTATGGCCATTTGAAAATGCGATAACGTAAAATTGTAAATCAATGCAGTTCACGGGCACTAAAACGCGTACGATGGCATAAGTGGCCGCTCAACTTTCTCTAATCTGTGTTTCATCAGATCTGCGCCCGGTCCGCTTAGTTTTACGACTTTTCGGCAAAAGCTTGAGTATAGCCTTATGCCACCTTGGTCACTTTCAAGCAACACATGTGAACCTCCAGTGAACGAAAAAGAAGAGAAACAGCAGAGAAGGTCCAGCTGAGGTAAGGGTTTGGAAAAGCTTTTTTCCTCTCACGCAAGTGCTACTGCAGTATGTAGCATCGAGCAAGTACTTCGATATTGTGATCGAGCAGCATTAGCGTTCAATTATTGATTCCACTTGGATGGGTATATATAGTCTAAGTTCTCTTTTAATTAAAATTCGCATTAAATTTTATTTTAATTCATCAGTTATCCTAGCTATTTACTTTTGACGCTATCTAATAAATAACAAATTAGTTCGAGTTACGTATTAATTTTTCAAGTTAGGAATATTACACTTGCTATGACATTTTCACTACGACAATTCATAGTGGGCTTATTAATGTATTCGATATATCGTTCGATATCGTCAGACATGGTCAATATCCTATATTGCCTTCAACATAGGTAACTGCACGGTTAACTTCGATAGTGTGGAGTAGAGAGATTTGAACAGGACGGATAAGAGAAGCTTGATGGGCGTTGAAGGTTTACGAGCTAGAACACTTACTTCGATCGCGAGATATAATAGGGTAAGGTCGCTTGCTGCCAACATTTGGACTGCGCATGTCGGGCGAGAGCAACCAGCATTTGGAAAATGCCATAAAAAAATAGAGATATCGTGGGTGCGAAACAGTTGAACGAAAAAAGTCTTCTGCGAAGGGCAGCTAGTCAATTTTTTGGAAGCCTCTGCATAGTGCACAATGCACATGTACGCTTTCCACGTTGTACTTCTATCATTTTCCACCAATTAAAGTGTTTTACTAAACAGAATCTCATTACTTGGCCTATCACTTTACCAACCCAAATCATCAATCCCATAACAGCTATGCAATAGTTGCGAGATATCGCTTACTTAAATTCAATAAACCCGATGAGGAGTATGTCAGGATCTCTATAGCCTACACTGCTAATTAATATACAAACTAAATAAATTACATGTAAAAAGGCTTCGTGTCTATAGTGTTAGACGGCATTCCAAATTGAGTTTTGTTTATTAGGTTGCTATAAAACATGTAATAAAAAAGACAATGCTTAAAAAAAAAAGAAAAATAATGATCTTTGTATTTACTTAATCAATTTATTTATAATTATATTATTCAATTAATTCAAAGTTGCACAGTTTTGTAATAGTTCAGAGGTATGTATGATGAGATGAATAAAATGAAAAGTTTTAATGTACTGTTGTATGATTAACAAAATAAAAGCTAATATAAATATTAAACAAATCCAAAACTACAACATACGTAAATTCTCTGAATGATGCGTGTTAACACACATTTAAAATTCACTAAATTTAATTTTATTTATATTATAAATAAGTTGAATTTCTTATATATATACACGTGTAATGCAAATTATAAATAGATTGAAGATCATTTGAAATGCAGAATCCCTCTAACTTTTTCATTAAATTAATTTACTTAAATTATCAAATGTGTAACGTAATTATCTAGCTGTTATCACTCCTATAAGCTAAGCTTGTTATATGTGCACACACACATGTCCATCAATAAAATTAATATCCAAAATGCTGTGTATTTATACACCGATTAGGAATCTAGTTTCTGAGATTGAAAATTGAGAAGGGAGAGTACTAAAGCTAATTTCCATTAATTGACTTGAAGCAATATCTTACAAAGCATTATCTAAATGAAATCATATACACACACGCTAACACACATACACACACACACGCGCGCAGAGCGAAGATTACGGTATAGTACAAGCTATTACGTACGTATTAGTTGTTCGCAAAGTTAACTGCAACAATTTATAAAATATTTTTAGTTTAACAAATTTTATAAATTATTTAAGTTGCAAAGTAATCAAGTGTAATTTATTAATTAATTTTTGTTGGATCGTATCTTATTTTTTGTGTATATTTATTATCTTTAGTCTCATTAAAGTCATTAAAATATAAAATTTTATATTTTAATAATTAACAATAACTTGAATTTTTATACTATTTTAAATAAAAGCCAAGTATTGCTTTGTTGTAGTTAATAATTTATTTACACTTCTTAACCCGAACAAAACCTTTTTCTAAAGGATTACATTTCCTTTAAAACGTTCACTAATGAAAAGCTGTCAAGGTAATGGAATGAAATTCTACAATAATCAAGTTCAGTAATAACAGAAATAGCGATTTTTTAGCACGTAAAAAATAAATTATGATTTATTTATCTGCTTTCAGTTTTTGAGATAATGAGTCATATTATAACTTTACATGCAAAATATAGATGTGTCAGTTTTGAATTCGATTTATTGAAGATCTTATTTATATTTTATTTACCCGACAAGACGCTTGACAATAAATGATTTATAATCGTTGATTTTTTTAATTAGCTGATGTATTGTCTTTCAAATATAATTTTTAACCATAAGTTAATTTATATCAATTATCAAACATTTGAAGAAAGTACTACTTTTGAATTCACTATACATTGCAACACAATTCCACACTATCGAAGAAGCGTCCACTTTTACCTACAACGAATACTACCAGACCTGACAATGATCAATTTTCTTAAAATTTAGTAGGGTGATGATTATATATCTATGGTGATTTTATAAGAAAGGAAACCTTTCTATAAATTATATAAAAATATTAATTGATATAAAAAATATTAAAAATTACGATAAAATTATTTTGCTAATTCGTATTTTGGTAACCATAGAAGTTTTTGATATCAAACTCTTTTTAAACTGTGTACATTTTGATTTAATTTTGAAATATTTTTCAAAAGTTACTAATTCTTGTTTTTAAAAAATCAAGTTCGGTAATGTCAAATTTGTATTTATAAAATGTTTTTTTTCGGCGTATTCCTTAATCTTTTTTCTATATAAAATCTATTAACAGTTTGCTACACGGTAATTGCATGGTAATAAATAACAATAAAAGTAATAATCAGCGGCAGCGGCCGCACGCTATAGCTTATAGTACTACACACTGTACTTCGTACTTTCAATTATATTTGCTTACTACTATTTTACAAGGTTTCTGTTGTTCCATAACAACAACATGTTATATATGTGAACAATAGAGAAAATCGAATGTAAATGGTCTATTGCAATATTGACAATAGGTACTAAGGAACTACGGTGGAATTTAAAAAATTAAAATACGTTCAACATAAACGATTCGAGTTTATGCAAGACTTAAGACTGCACAATTATATTACTAAAAACCAGGATGATTTTTAGTGAGAAGTACGATAGAAAATTTGAGAGAAGATGAAATAGCTGTAATGTTAGATTTGGCATTATAATTGTACCCATCAAGATGTAACTATACCTACACCACTGCAGCTGATTGTAATAATAATTGTAATAATAGCCTGAAATGTGCTAATAATTAATAATGGTTTTACTTACTTTAGTGTTTCAAAGTTCTTTAATAATGCAAAAATAATTTACAGCTTGTGGTATCAAAATTGAAGTAGTTATAAAATATAAAATTTTAATTAGATACTAATTACAAAACAAGTTTACAAGTTAAATAAATTTAATTTATTGATGCATGTAATTATTTTACTCTTACACCAGTAATTATGAAAACAGTATGTAGTTTTACCATTGCATAGTAGATTAGTCCTTTAAGTCATTAATTAAAATAAATATGACCTTTGCGCTTTAGTTTAAAAAACCAAATAACAAAATATCATTTTAAAAATAAATATTTGGACTTATTTTTAATATTAATGTAATCTTCTAATTATACACTCTACATTCATTCAATTACATACTAATCCTAAATAATCGTCCATCAATGTTCCAATAGCGAACTGAAAGTAAAACATTTGGATATGAATTGAAAAATTGTACAAAACACATTTGATTTTTTTGATACTTGTAAAATTACTTACTATTCCGGTTGCATCTACTCTTGTACCAACTATTTTCAATCTTATTTCATCATCTGCTTGAATAACAACATCCTAGAATTTTAAAAAGTATTCAATATCTGTTGAGTATAAGACATGACAAATAAAAATTTAAAAAATACTCAATTTTGTTATCTACATACAAATAAAATTAGTTGCATTATGCAGTATTACAAATTAGAATCAAGCTATATTCAAGTGTATGTTTAGATAAAACATAAATCATAGTGTAAAATTTTGAAAATATTGCAATAGAACGATTATTTAAGTGTCAACTTAATTATGTAAAATTATGGAAAAATTATAAAAAAATACTTGAATATTAATCAATGAGCTTGTTATAAGATTAATAAAAAATCAAAATATCAAATTATAGAAGTGGTTACCTCATCTTTTGACTTATAGCATGGTGGATTCACATTTGGACAAAACTGCATATCAGGAGGAATAGACTGAAACATTTTCCAATAAAAAGTTTATTAATTCTATTTTCAATGATTCTTATATTTTTAAATTTATGAGAATAACTCACGTGGTGTGAAATAAAGCATGACAAAGGACCAATTTCTGCAAACATTCCAACCTAGACATAAAAAATCAGTATGTAGCTTAATTACTTTTCTGTATATATGAAATCTCTGTGAATATGTTTACCTTGTTTACTTGTGTAACAATACCATCTAGCACTTCTCCTTTGAATGGCCTGAAAACAATAGCTTTGTACTTGACTGGATATACAACAAATCCTTGTCCTGGCTGTATAATACCAGCACCTATATTGTCAATTGTCGTAACTGCAACAACGAAGCCATATTTTCCAGTACAGTTCCCTTCTACTTCAGTATACAATTTTTGTTTTACAGTATCCAAAAGTTGAGGTCCAAAATACCTCGGGTGAAGAAGAATTTCATGTTCTAAGGATATCTACAATTGAGAATATAGTTAATTTATGTTATTATATTAACATGCTAAACTATATATACTTACGTGATAAAACATTTTCAAATAATATCAATAGTGAGTAGTAGCGTAAAAAAATCTTGACTTAAAATAACTTGTTTTGTACTAGTAATTAATAATAATAATAAAAAAATTGATGAAGTATTTTATTCACCGGCTAACATCAACTATAAACTTGGAGGTTATAGTACACAACATAAAACGCTATTGATGCTATTACGCTAAAGCATCAAATCTAGGAAAGTTCGCGCGCATTATATGGGTATGTTACCGACTGAGAACGTCAGGAATTTAATTATGTGTCCATCTACCGGACATATACTTAAGCGGTATTACATCATTTTTTTTGAAAATAATGAAATGATATTAAACCTGCCAGAATATTCAGAATTGTCTACTATTAAAATATATAAAACAAGATACATCTGCAATTTTTAATGGTTATAAATTGTGTTAAAAATTATTAAATGAATGAGCTTTCAATCTTATAATTCCTTCACAAAGTTTTTATTCTTTATCTATAATATATATCTATCTTACACTCTACGTATCATAAAATGCAAATAAAAAACTCGATTTATTCATAAATGATGAAAGTGTCGATGAAAGTATAATTTTAATAACAATTTGTATATTTTATTTATATTTACGTTCGGAATTCGATTTTTTTAAATTGAATATAAACAAAACAATATGTTTATTATATTTAAGTGATTGATTTATTATAATTGATCAATATCAATACAAATGCTTACTGAACAAAGCTACCTCAAAATTGATGAAATAAATGAAATTGACTAACTGAATAAACAAATCATAGTATAATGCTCAATAATAAAATTGGATTATGAAAGGTATAATTGAAGTTAATTATATATGATGTATTATTAATACCGCAATTTATTATACAATTACAATGTTACTAATTGTTGTAGTAATGGTATGTAGTAGTAATAATGATAATTATAATTGTCGTAGTAGTGTCTCGTATCTAGATGTTAACATTAATTTTTTTTAGGAATGATATGATTTCGTTTTTACATTACTGATTCCCATCAAGTCTCTTTTGATCTTGAATATTGATTATTTAAAATTTATGTCGTCACTATTTGCAGTATAGAATACGCTGTAATTAAAAACCCGTTTTTCAATTCACGATAAAATGTTTTTCATGATGAATTCTTTGAAATATCACGAAATTTACGAAAAATTTATATTTTTAATAGATTAAAATTACATAAAAGTTGTAATCAAGATTGTGGGTAAAAAATACTAAAGTCTTTCGTTTAAATTTCACATACGGCTTCACTGAAGCTTTTTATATAACTTTTAGGAATCTTTTTATACCGTGCTCTTTCGAAAACTCGATTATTTATAATCACCAGTTTTCTTCTGGTTTATATACCGAAATTTTAACTACATTTTGAATATAAAAGTCACACGTTCGTATTTTATTTTTGTTACATATGATAATCATTCATTCAGCGAACCTTACAGCGTAGTACACATTAATTCTACCAAAAAGTTTTTCTACTCCATTCATTTCTTATCATTTGAAAAACAGTACAAGTTATTTTCTTAATAATCTTCTACAATTGGTATACCATGTTGTGCCCCCCTTTTTTGAGACTTTTCCAAGACATTTAAAAGTTCATGAAACGGTACATCAAATGTTTCATAGTCTAATTATTTATCGGTATATACAGTTAATAGTGACGCCAGGACGGTGGCGTCATTAACACTTTGAAAATCTTAAAACGACTCAACGATTATTCCACTTAAAAAAGACTGTCGCCCTTATGATTGCAAAAGATTCTTGGATGAAATCTCGTGAGTTCTCGTACCTTACATTCAACGGTGAGTCCATACCCCTAATAGATACTACGATTTCACATCGTATTACATTGCACATAGTGTTAACTTTATTAGACAAAACAAGTTAATAAGTGATAAATAAATCAATAAAAATCATAAAAAAGGAAAATGATAAGGAAAACATAAAAAAACTAACGAAATCAACTGAACTCTTTGTATTGTTTTATTTTAAATAATAAAAGTTAAAATGTGACGAAATAATATTAATATAGAAATAATATAATAATAATAAAATTATTACTAAAATAATTAATCTACATCAATCGTGGGATACGCTGTCATGTTGCACAAAGATGGAAAAGGATATTTCGGGCCTATACCAAACGTGATATCATATATAACTTTACATCTTTTTCCAGTCTATCTATATACACCTCTTACTATAATTAGTGATATTATAATTAATTCAATGCATCACAAGATGACCTAAAGCTTCATTATTTTAGTTTACCGTAAGTCATTCAACAATTCGAATGTTTCGAATGATGCTATTTTGTGATGTACATTTATCACTTCATGTGCTGTTAGGAACCTTGTTTATTTCTGGTTTGACGCTTTCTTACAATCACAATCACGGCAAAATCATGGTAATTATACATTTGATTACCTCATTTTCATTAGGCCCGCCTTTTCCATCTCGTTTTTTCACGTACACAAAAGCTTAATACATTTCAGTTTCAATGTACAGGTAAAAACGTAACGCTTTCATAGTTTCCTCAAACTTGTCCTTATCGTAAATTGATTTGGACACTCGACAGTTTTCTTAACATCAAGTAACAGATTCGAAGAGAGATTAACATAATAAAATAAAAATCTCCATCTTTTCTCTCTTCGTTTCGGTCGATTTGATTAGAAAAAGAAATGACGACGCCAACCTATACTCAGTATATATATATACATGTTATTTTTCCCACGATAATATGTATTAATACTACAACTGATGAACGACGGTCTAACTATTTACATTACATTCATTTTCATTTATACGATTATAGATCTGCATACATTTTGCGTGTACAGATATGCGCTTACGCTTGATACGCGAGTCTTTTATGCATAACTGTGTGTGTTCATAATGTTTTTCTGCCTATTATTTAATTGCTATTTATATTCTTTTTTATAAATATACTTCTTTTGTAGTCGGGTGCACGTGACGTGCTTATCCACATGCACGCGTAAGTTATTATCTACGCAGTTATTTATTCATAGCCATTGGTTTTTTTGTTTTATATCTCTTCGTATCAGTGAAGTCATATATATTATGTCTTACAAACTATGTGTATACTGAATCGTACGTGATCGCTTCAGACGCGCGCGTTCCTCCCTGTATTGTACATCTAAAAATTGTGTAGTAAATCAGTTTATTAAGCACGGATTGTCAGTCATCGTGCTGATCTGTACCGTTTAAACTAAAACATGCTATGGTTTTATATGCTAGAAATATTCAGAATTCAGATATGTGGAATGTTATATTAACTCTATATATATATATATATATATATATATATATATATATATATATATATATATATATATATATATATATATATACTTTTTTCATTGATACACACTAGAAAACGTGTAGTAAGATATATCAGATTTTCAAATCTCCGAAATAAAACATTACAGACCCTGCTTGACTTATCACTAAAATTCAAAAAGTCTGATAGCCTTCAATGACTTTGGAACAATATCGTTTATATTTTTAGTAAATCAAACAAAAGAAGTTGGATTTGTTTACAAGATAACAAGAGAAAAGAAAACAAATATTATGAAATATTAGTTGTTATCTTTTCTCGAACATATGTTCTCAATTCATAACACGTAACACGTGGAAAAAAGCAAGGAAGAAAACAGTATGATAAACGCGCCGCCTCGTACGGATAACTCGTTTTCCGCTTATGCGCGTATTTACAATGTATCAGTAATAGTTAATATAATTACAGTCACTGCTTTAGGAACTTTGTACTCGTGGATGACTTCGAGTATAAGGGCAATTTATTGATTACATTCATCGACAAACAGAAAATGCTTTATAGTCAATAGTTCAAAGGATTCAAAAGACATTGTTTTTCGATGTTTTTAATGCTTCTTATTATTATTTTCTGTAACATAATTTCTTTTTATAAAAAACGTCGTGCATTATTCTTTTGCAACACACATAAATAATGCTGAGAATTTGTTACGAACAAACTTATGGCTTCGATGAAAAATGTTCAGGCAAATTTATCAGAAGAAGTAGCGCGCTTTTCCCTGTCGTGATTGTTTATTGTGTAGCAAAACGTCCAGCATGAGCAACAAAAACAAATACTAAAATCAAATTGTCATATCGATTCAAGCATTCGTCCATCAAATATACTAGATCATGCCTGCCATTTCGCTTTCAACCTCGTATAAAACAGCATCCTAATTACAAAATAAACGTAAATGAATTCCCCTAATTATTTACACAAAACAGCCGTCTAACAATTCTGAATACTTGACTGTACTTCCTTTTGTCATCTTTTTTGGTGCTTAACTGCCTGAACCCTTGAGCGTTACTTTACGAAAAAATGCTATACGGTTACACTTGATAGAGGTAATTACTCTATTTACAAGAAATTCAACCAAAGTGATTGGCTTCGACAAAGAAACGTATTAATCGTTGCACCCTATTTTGCGCAACCTGTACAGACTTTTGAAAATTGAAAAAAACGCTGCAAAAGCCAGGCAAAGGCGCTAACGAACGAAACAAACAATAAACGAGATGCTTCCACGAAACTATGATACACGAAGACATTCACGAGATCAGCCATACAGGCACCGACGACAAGTGCGAGATGTTTAAATCGAGTCTCTATCCCCGTAGTGATAGTATTCCGGTAGATTGCACAGTCGCCGTTGGTGCTGTTGCTGTTGTCGGTAGAGAGCATGCTCCTGGTGTCACTCGTGCAACGATGATGATTTGCCGCCATGCGGGTGTCCATAGCTGTTGCTACCCGAGCTAGCGACCAGAGCCAATGGCAGTGGCGAGCCGAGTGGTGTTGAGTGTGGGTGTTGCGGTACCAGCGGCCCCGGAGACGAGTGCGTTGTCAGTGCCAGTGGACTACTAGACATGGTGTTGGCCAGCGAAGCAAATACCGAAGGTGCGGGCGATGCCATTGTCGGGCTGCCCATCGCTGCAGGTGGGTTGATGCGCTTCTCCTTCTGCCGCCTGTAACGGGGATGGCTTATCTTAGTATGATTTGCCCAAAGGGGTGAGTCAGTGAAGCTACTAGGGATGGGAAAGGTTCAATGTCTGCGCGCGCAATATTTTAAAATACATCAATTACTGCGTGCTTGACGTTCAAATGCCAACTTTCAGATGTAAGTATTTGAAAAGTGTATTATGTTTTGCAACGACGTTTCAGAGTTGTTAGAGTGGAATGAAAGGGGTGAGACCGCAAATTTTTGCATAATCGAAAGTCGTAGCTGATTGTAAGCTATTGAAGCAAACGAAACGACTTCGGAAGGGGGAGCCCGAAAGAAGAATCTTCCCACGTGAGAATCCGTTCATTAAATGTTCGAAGAGAAACTGATGTCTTTGCATGATAAGCGGTTTGCGAAAGAGGAGAGGTAGAATGAGAAGAATATAAGCGGCACGTCAAATAGTAGAGTATATAGTAGTAGTAGTGGTTGTAGTAGTAGTTGTAGTAGCAGTGGTAGTAGTAATAGTAGTGGGAATAGTGTGTATAGTTTCTAGAAATGAAATTACCTGTTGCAGAACCAGACCCTCACGACTTCCTTCTCCATGGACAGACTATCGGCGAGAATAGTAATTTCCTCGGAGGTCGGTTTCGGATTCTGCATGAAAGCTTTCTCCAACGCGACTCTTACGCTCGTTTCGATGGACGTGCGTTTCTTTCGTCGCCTGCCTATCGTCTCTGGCGTGGTTAATGGGTTCGACAACGAATTTGGATTGTTCAATGAATTATCCGCGTCTTCGAGCCACTTTTGCAACAATGGCTTCAACTTGCACATATTTTTAAACGACAGATTTAAAGCCTCAAACCTGAAATTGCCGGCCACCATTTACGTAACTAATCGCAAACTTGTGTAACTTATTGACAATTTAATTTAGATACATACCTCGAGATGGTCGTCTGCGAGAAATCATTGCCATAAAGCTTTCCCATGGCAAGGCCAACGTCTCCCTGTGTAAATCCAAGCTTGATCCTGCGCTGTTTGAAAGTCTTGGCGAACTGCTCGAGCTCTTCGAGGTCGGTCGTTTCCTCGGGCGACGGCTCGATCCTCGATGGCTTGACACTCGCGGGCGGGGTGCTCGGCGGTGGTGGGGAACGCTGCTGCTGTGGAACGAGATTGCGACCAACGCTGCTCTGCTGCAGGGCCTGCTGCTTTTGCAGTGCTTGCAGTTGTTGGGCTGCTTGAGCGACCGCTTGCTGCACCTGCGATAAAGAGATGTTACGTTAAATGGTCGCTACTCAAGGACACGATAAAGAAAAACTTCTCACGCGCTCTTTCATTGAAAATCTTGAGGTATTCGGCCAATTATTTCGTTGAATAAGGCGCGCTTAATGTCTTGGAAATTCATAAGTCATAAGGAATGGATTTAATTTTTTGAAAGATATACGGGACGCTTTTCATTAATCACGAGACAGGGACAGGAAGTATGTAAAATGTTTCAAATTTCAAGACGGTTTTCATTCTTATAATAACTCTGCCTGCATACCATTCGGAGTGCGGGTGGCTTGATTGCTGGGGCCAATTTTATGGACATTGACACAAGTCGGTTATACAGAATTATATCGTTTCAAATCAAAACCATCTCGCCATATAAATTTAACGGCACCCGAAACAAGACTTGAAATTGTAGAGCACTATACGCGTCGTTTAGATTGCTGAGATCCCTGAGAGGTTCTTAATGAACAGGTGCTCATAGGCAGGTCGAGGGAAATAAAAAAAGAGAAAAAAAGACGCTCCGAGCCTCGTAATCGATTATCTTCACCCTTTCGAAAAAAAATGCAGATGCATGCGTATGTATATAACCTGGCATCAAACAGAGAAAGAGGAGGGTCGTAAAAATGTGGCAACACCCTTTCGTTCTCTCTCTCTCTCTCTCTCTCTCTCTCTCTCTCTCTCTCTCTCTTACGAGAAAAAAAGGGTTTCAGGTGGGTCGCGTGTCTATATACATATGTACGGGACTCGATATGCTTATTTATGTAGACACCCCACGGAATTGCTTTACATCTCGGTGGCGCGTGGCGCGCGCGTGAATAGCTGAATAGTCGGGCACATGCGCAGGTATTTTCACTACGGCACACTCGCGAAAGGGTTCGCTCCTTCGACGCGCGCATTTTTAATAGAATAGTCGCGTGTCGCTATTCAAATGGGGCGCCTGTCATTCTTGGGGCGGCTTCGCTTGGATCCGTCATGCATAATGTAAAACCTGCGCCTCTATACACGTGCGTCGGCTAATTCCGAGCGAAATTCGCTACCTGCTAATTTTCGATAACCCCTTCTTTTTTCGCTGCGGGACTTTTCGAGAGTATATTGTCAGGTGCATTCTGATGAATATCGCCTCAAGTACTTACGCGATTTTTTTTTTTCATTACTGTGATTAACGGCTAATTCGTTATATGCGTTAATTTAAAAATTTACGCAAATTAAATAAAAGGTAGATATTTGCATTTAAATCTAGTGCCGTTAACTGTTTTTCTTTTAAAGGCAACATATTAATTATGTAAATTGATACAACAAACAGAATTAGCACAATCCTTTAAAATGCCTTTGAAACTCCCGAATGCCAACTAAATGAAAAAGCATTCGACGCTGCACCCTAATTATCATCATAATTCGCGTTGTAAAAGCCAGGACATCATTATATTCATAATCCGGGAAAATTCCTCGAAAGGAAAAAAAGAAAGGGAAATTAACATGTGAATCGAGCGAGCGTCTGGAAAAATCCTTAAGCCGCTCGCCAAACACGCGCCTCTCGCGTCGAATCATAAAAGGGGTTCGTTATTATATTTCTCAGGGTGTGTAACATACGCGTTGCAGTTTTCAGTAAGCATACATATACGTGCACACAAACGACAGGCGCGTGTCCCTCGCAAAAGCGAGCGGCAAACGTGAGCAGAGCATACAGGCCACGTGTTAGCCCTTATAACAAAGACCAAGGCAAGGTGCCTCCAGGCGCGCGCGCGTGCTCTCTCTCTCTCTCTCTCTCTCTCTCTCTCTCTCTCTCGCCCTTAACGAATCACCTTTTCAAAGAGGCTTGCCGCTCTCGCGCGCGCGCAAAGTCGTACTTTTATCCATATAGAACCCCGCGCGCGCGTTTACCTGTACAATTCTTTTAGCTTGGTATAAATCTCTATGCCCGGACAATATCAAACGCGCGCGTTTTTTCCCTCTCGTTTTTGGGAACCAACGACGACCCGAGCGAGCGAGGAAGATCGATAATTGAGGATATTTTGATGAATCGATCGCGCAAGCATACGTTTAACGCGGAGAGAGAGAGAGAGAGAGAGAGAGAGAGAGAAAACATAAACGATGTGGAGGTGAAGAAAAAAATACTGAAAGAACGTGGGGAAAAGAGATTCTTTTGAGTGAGAGCGCCCGCTTGCTTTGAATATTCCGAGGGGAGAGCAGCGTATAATAAAAAGTCACGACGATACGCTAATGAACGTAAATAAGATGCATGACAGATGCACCATTCAATGGCTCTGTTAATATTTTATACACGTCGATAGGGAAATGGGGAATTCTATCTTGGCGAGTGCCCGCATAGACGCGTCGCGTCGCCGACGGGCCGCTCTCTTTTTGTCCGCGATGCCTGCATTCTCGTCCAGCGAGGTTTCGTGAAAAATTGTTGCGTCTTAAGTGAACATCCCCATTCACGCAAAGTGATTTCTCGAGAAACCTCCGAAGACGCGTCGAAAAGAACAGCGAGAAATTTACCTGGTTCTGTAAGAAGAACTGCGCTTGAGCGGGTAATTGTCCAGGATTAGCTTGCTGGAACATGGCGAATTGTTGTAATTGTTGTTGTAAAGACTGTTGCTGCTGCTGAAGCGTCGACGCGAGAGCTTGTATTTCTTGAGGACTAAGTCCGCCGAGGGAGCCGTGCATGAGTAGTTGCTGTCCAACGAGTTGCGCAGCAAGGGCAGCCTGCGAACTGTTCGTGTTGCCGGCGTGTTGGCTACCCGTCAGCTGGCTACTCACCCCCGAACTCGGCGACGAGGCACTGCCGCTTGTTCCGCTGCTGCTGTTACGCTGCGACACGTCCGTCACCTAGAATACGCACAAATTGCAGGGCTTTCTTTTTTTTTCTTTTTTTTTTTTTTTTTCGACCTTTACTACACTAATGATCGCACGACTGTATCTTCTCGTGTGAACTTTTTTTCTTGTGTGTGGCGGATACTCGAGGACATTCAATTCCATAGTTTTTTTTCTATCTATCAAACCATATTTTTGAAAAACTAGCCAAAATAAATACTTGACGTCAACGTAAATTTGTTTTCCGGGTCTTCCTCTTCTCCGTATGGAGTGTGGCTTCGGAACATCTTGTCTAGGCAAGATGCTCCCATTGGGCGCGTTTCTTACAAGGATAAACGTAGTTTAAGCGTGAAGGCATACATATAAATTTCCCGTCGATCGGAAATCAGAATGTTCCACCCTCCCCGCGTTAATACACATTTCGCGCTCACGCGCAAGGAAAGAGAAAAGGAGAGCGAACCTCGACGCACAGACAAAAGCGCCTGTTTACACTCGGCTAGGCCCAGGATATTGGTCACTTCGCTTCCTCCTGCGCTTTTGTGTTTTATAAAAACCGCCCTCCTCGTTATATACTCCGCAAGAAATTTTTCTTCTTTCGTACACTCTCGGCTTTTATTTATTTCTCAAACATTTGATTTACGCATTTCTTATTTGATGCGTATGGCTACCCTTAAGCAATTCCGGTAAAGTTATTTGCGACGAATGCGAAGCCTACCGTAGATCAAAATCCTTCTTGGGCAGATGGTCACTTCCGGGAAATAAATAAGCATCGATTTTTATAAATCTTAGGCATTCTCACGCGAACGTGTGCGTGCACTTCGAAACAAACCTAGGGATACGTCCAAATATTTGTTTTGATTTTTCATTCGCGCGCGCACTCAAGAGGACCAAACGATCAAGATGTTGTCGTCGCTGCTCAACGCGCGAAACATTTGCCTATCCCCGCGATCGTTACTTCTCTCGAAACGGATAAGCAGTCAACTGTCCCCATTAGTATTCGCAAGAAACGCCCCTGCGATCGTTAATTCCAGCCCTCAGCCGTGATTTTCCAAAGGGGAAAGGAAAGAAAAAAACCGGTAAAAAGAAACGAATACCATTTGCATGCGTCGGCGTGGATTTTGCGGCAATCCGGCACGAAATCGTGGGAAGTCCGGTGTGTGTCACGAGAAAGGGGCGCGCGCACGCGAGCGACCAACGAGCTAGCGATAGCGATCTGCGGGCGGCGGCGTGGGCATAGCTTGGAATGTATGTCGTCACCTGTTGGACCGTAATTAGCTAGACGTAATTTCGACCACCTGCCCATCGGTTACCCACTCGACAGCGACCTGAAATTCGGAAGCGTAATGCGCACCACCCCGTGCGCCCGAAACCATACATACAGGAGTTGATTGCCTTTTGCGGAATAGAAATCAAGAGAGTGGCCGACGCTCCAAGTCTACCTGCCTGCTATTCATGCTGCCCTTTCTCTCTCTCTCTCGTCTCGTACTATATGCGTCATCGCGTGCGGGAATTATCAATATTTAGGGTCCGCATGTTGGTTGACATTGTGCAGTGCACACGCGTACGTACACTGGCTTTGCGCGCGCGCGTAGATTATTCATACTTACCAGATTAAGGGCTTCCCTGTCCGAGTCGATCGAGTCGTGATCCAAGTGGGCGTCGTTACCGTCTTGTACATCGCTTGCGATACTTCGGTCATCGCCACTGAGATCGGCACCGTCCACCTCGCCCTGTAAATCGGCATCTGTAACAATTCACATCGTCGCTTATAAGCAAAAACATTGACGGTCTATATTCCGATTAAATATAAGATAAAATGATTATAATAGTTGAATTAATTGGAACTAGAATCTGTAGAAACCGTATCTTCACGCGTCAGTCAACAATTGTTGAAATCGATAAAACTATGTATGAATATCAAGGATTAAATATAGTGGCAACGATAGAAGTGAATGAGTATGGCACGACACGACATCTGTCGAAAAACAAACGAACGCAATAATTAATTTATAACAACCATTCGTTGTATACTTATTTTTCTATTTATCCAAAAATAATTGGAATTACTGTATAAATAGAAAATAACGATCGACGACAGTCCTTCCTTTTCTTACGAAATCTTACTTGACGATAATAAAAAACGAAAAACGGTAATTCAGCTGCACAACTCATCGCACAGATAATCATTATATGTAGTATAAGATATCGGTGTAACTAAATAATTGTTTCGTTTCGATTAGAAGAAAAAGGGATGACCGTACAATCATTGTTATTCTGCGGCCTATATTTTCGATGATGAACTCGATAACTTGTTGGTGTACTAGTTGGCGTGCTGGTGGCGTGAAACCTCATGTCGGCAAAGATCATTCTTGGGTTTTCCAAGAAAACCATCTTTGTGTCACTGCCCACCAGCGACCCGCGCACTTTTTTCACCGTCACATCGATACACTGGCGATTATAGTCCTTCAACTCCACAGTGTAATTTTTGGTTCACTTTCTCGTAATAAAAACTGACTCACACACAAAAAACACGTCGATCGAAATAAAAAAACCGAACAACGAAAAACAAAAAAACAAAAAAGAAATTTAAATACTAATGAATATTGATGCTTCGGCTCATGAATATTAAAAAATGAAGCGGTAAATCTGTGCCGAGAGATGTAAATCGGCAAGTCAACAGCAGTACATCGGTTGCTGATGAGCGAGCCGACAGCGAGCGAGTGACGCAAGCGCTGCATAGCAGAGACGTGAGCGATGGCCCTAAGGGCGAGAACTACCCCCACCATGTGAACTCTAGGGCCAGCTATTGGACGTTCGATAAGCACGCTTCTCATTGGCTCGACTCCGCATCAAGCGCGCGAGTATACAAAAAAAAACCCTTTTGAAACGATCGCGTGCGCTGCTCACGCAATGCGCTCTCCCCCTATATACCTATACAACTTTTTATATACACGTACACGAAAGAGAAAAGAGAGACGCCTCCCTCGCATTATGCGCCAACCCTTCTCGCTTTGATTTTTCAGCGAATTCTTTATTATAATCCCTTTTCGTGAAATTTAACGTGTGCCCAAGCGAAGCACTGTTTTTTTTTATTGCGCCGAACATATACGCAACCGATTTAGATCGGATCGAGCGTTCAAGTCTGCGGGTTTCGAATGTAACGGCTTCCATTACAATGATTATTTCGATACGCACTGGGATTAAAATTTACGGCCGATTTCGTTATTTTTTTTTTTTTTTTTTTTTCATTCCGCACTCGATATACTACTATTTTATCGTCTCGTGCGCATGCAAGCTCTAAATTTGGACTTGCAAGCGACTACGCGGAAGAGAGCTGAAGGAGCAAAGACCATTGCGGCAACACAAATGGTGCTTTGATAATTTGTAACAGTTGGTCTTGCGATATATTCGCTAGTTTAAAATTTATTACGTGAAAATACTTTCCACAGGTTTCAAAAACTATTACAAGTTAATGGCATCTTACTTAGCGAGACGAAAAGGGATTACAGCACGGTACTTTGTTCGCCAAGAGCGCATTTTTCAGTAATTCTTTGTACGATCACGATCGCTCGACTTTGATAAATTTTTATGACGAATCGCGCGCAGTCGTGAGAACCAAATTAAACGCCCGACATCGACAATCCTTGATCATGCGCGAAAAAAAGAACAAGCTCGTAATCGGTCGGATCCCCACATTTTGGGGTGAAGATTTTGCCTTTTAATTTCCAAAAAATCAAGAAAAAAAATACCGACACTGTGGGAAAAGGCGCACGACAGATAGAAACACCGCCTTTTTTGCGTGTATGCGCGGAAGGGTCAGTCGACAGCATAAAAAAAACTCACGTGTTCTCCACGAGCTTTCGCGTTCCCATGCAAGAGACGGTGCGATGCTTTTGGGGTGAAAAAACGCCAAAAAGTGAGCGATACCCTCGCGCGAGCGCACAGGTAGAGGGGGATGAAAAATCCGTAAAAAAGTGAGAATAAAGGTTGCGTACGAGTAGAAAAAAACGCGCTCGATCGAGAGAGCGAGATTTCGGGGCCAAAGTCCCCGATATGCGCGCGATCGGGCCTCTACGTTTTCTTCCCCTCCTACTTCTTCGTCTCTGTGTGTGCACAGTGCCCCACCTTTTTTTCCTTCTATTCGTGCATAATGCGGCCCGCCTGTGTGTATCTGGGATAGAGAAAGATGCAGATTCCCTCGAAATCGTAAAAAAAAACCTGGCCGCGGGGTCAGGTAGTAGAGATGCGTACATCCTCCGAGGATTCGAGCGAGATAATGGGAAAAGACGCTAGGAAAACACGCGAGCACAAAGTATGCGCGCGCGCACGCAGACAAGACCAAGGAATTCACGTACTTTTTTATATAGGTTTCCGGCACCAAATGTGCGCGCTTGTTTGTATTAGAATTGTTTTGCATGTATTGTTCGTTGCTCAAAGAAGAAACCGGACGAGCTTCATCAGTAATTCGAGAACAGCATCGAAGAACAATTTATTTAATCGAACGGAAAAAACAATTCGTTATTTTTCTGAAACTCGTGAGAAGTCGCGAAAGGTGTAAAAAAGGTACAAATTGAATAGAGTTACCGAATAAAAAAAAACTTAAAAAGAAAAAAACAGAGGAGCATAGAAAGGCGCGATCGCGGCGGCATGCGGCACTTTGGGGTTAGCGAGACACATTTTTGAGGTAATTTCTCTCGGTTTCGTTGCTCACGCTCACTTCGCTTACACACACGAACCCTTTCACGTATGGTCACAAGAGCATTGGTGCGTGCTATGTACACGCATACGCCATTTCTCTCTCACCTCTAGTTGAAGACGCGAATGAGGAAAAGAACGTTATAACTTTTTTTTCATCCAGCTGCGCCCTTTCCCTAAAAGAGATGAGACGCGTAACCGTCACTTTTCTACTTTTTTGTACATTTCGCGAGAGAGCGCAGCTCACAGAGGTCGGTGTTGTTACACCTAGTATTGGTGTGTTTTTTTCATCAAAAGGCAGTATAAGCGGAGAGACAAACGCGTGCGAAATTGACAAGGAGGCTTTCGCTTGCTCGCTACAAGTCAACGTATTTTTTCACCTTTTCACCAAACGAGGTAACTGACGTTTTGTAACGTACCGAAAATCAGTGGCAGGTACAGCTCCGAGGAGAATTTACGTTCTTTTGGTAGTGAGCTCTGATTGGTTGCCGATGCCGTAAGACTTTAAGTAAGGGATGTCGATGATGGCGTAATAGTTCAAGACGGATGTGCGTCGCTCTTGTTACAGGAAGGTTTTGTTGGCGGGTGGGGGGAGGGGGAGAAGGGTGCATTTCTCTGTTGCGCAACCATGTATTCGCTGATGGTTCGATGTACGAATAGAAACCATGGAATTTTCCACCCGGACCGCTGCAATCCCACGCGACGATATTGAAATATCAAGCTGAAAAATTTACGACACTCGACAAATTTATCCGTACAGCGTTACTACTCCTCGATGAAATAAATAAATCTTCGAGAGTGTGAACAAAAGATCGTACACGCTGAAAAATTTTCACACCTTCGCCGACGCGAGTTTCCCATGATGCTCCACATTCGCGCGAGAGGTGAAAAAAAAAAAAACAAAAGAAGCGCATGTAGGAAGGAAGAACGCCGGAGAACGATCAGTGAGCAATATAACGTCCGTTTTGCTTCCATGAGAAAGTGAGATATTGCGCAAGATTTGGGGTTGCTGCTCTCTCTGCCCACGCACAATGCCGAACGCGCGCGCGTTCGTGAGTCTATCCATCACCCACGCATTCACGCGCTTTTGCTTGCAGCTGCTGTCCGGGGGTTGAGAGAGAATCCAGGGGGACACTGCTAGTAGCCAAAACGTCAGTGACGTAGGAAGGACGGGACTATGTCGCTTCTTTCTGTCTCTCTTTTTTGGTTTTGCTTTTTTTTCGGAGCAAACGCCAATGGTCAGGTGATGAAAAAATTGCTACTGTAACTGCTCTTAAGTTTCGGACGTGCCCTACACGAAGCCGACGGGAAATACCTGTTGGCGTGTGAATTATCCGATGGCTTTTTTCTTTTTCTCCAGGAGGGAGAACATATCTAAGCCGATGGACGCAGTTCAGTCTAAAGTAAAAAAACGTTAATGATTGCGTTCTCGTGCGTTTTTTGTAAGTCGATGCACAGACTCTTCTTTCAATTTCGATTCAAGGTTTAAAGTTTCTTTCTTGCCGGGAAAACTTTGGTAGTCTCATTGTTGTAATCAATCGTGACCGATAAAAAACAGCCATTGACATGTTTTCGTTACAACGTCACTTCCAACACACAGGATGACACTTTTTTAATGGATCAGTCTCGCAATGAAAGCACGTCAAAGTTTGACGTACGAATCTGATGCTCGGTCGACCTGTTCGCGTGTGTATACGAATGACATATCCCGGTTTCTTACATAAAGAAAAGAAAATTTTTCTCACGAGATTTTCACCATTCTCATAGATTCTCAACGCCACTCACTGACCCATCAAGCAGTTAATTGCATTTTTACAGTAGCCAAGTTTTCTCAAGATCGAAGAAAAAAGAAGATAATAGCTCTCACTGTTACGGTCCTTTCAGAGAGGATTTTTTGCCTCGTTGCTTATGCATTAGAATCGTCGAACAGAGAAAATGAACATTTCCATCTAATCAGGTGTGCCGTCAGCTCCTCGACGCGCCCGACAAAGGTACCGCATGGATTAATAATCATCAAACGCGTCTGAGGCGAGAGTGCGTACTAAAGCG